CATTTTTTAATCCAGTCCTCTTTGATGGGCAGCATGGTTGTTTCAGGTCTTGCTATGTGAACAATGCTGCGATAAACATACGTGTGCAGGTATCTTTTTTATAGAGTGATTTGTGTTCTTCAGGGTATATTCCAGTAGGGGGATTGCAGGTTCATATGGAGGGTCAATTTTTAGAGCTTTTAGGAATCGCCACACTGCTTTCCACAGAGGTTGCACTAGTTTACACTCCCACCAGCAGTGTAGAAGTGTTCCCTTTTCACCACACCCTCTCCAGCAGCTGTTATTTATTGAGTTGTTGATAATTGCCATTCTGACTGGAGTTAGGTGGTATCTCAGTGTGGTTTTGATTTGCATCTCCCTGATGATTAGTGAGGTTGAGCATTTCTTCATGTGTTTGTTGGCTTCTCGAATGTCTTCTTTTGTGAAGTGTCTGTTCATATCTTTTGCCCATTTTATAATGGAGTTGTTTGTTTTCTTCTTTTCAGTACGTTTCAGTTCCTTGTAGATCCAGGATGTTAAGCCTTTGTCCTAGAAAAATTTTAAAACCTGTTAAAAACACTATACAGTCAGTTAGAAAATAAATATTCAAGAATTGCTGTTGTTTTGTAATGGGAAACCATTTAGTGATAAGTAATATTTCTCAAATATTCCTTACATGCTAAGCACTACAAGCATAAAATTACTGGGAATAACTATAAAATTAAATGTATAAGAGATACATGAAGAAAGCTATAAAACTTTGCTAAGGCCTGTAAAAGAAAACAAACAGATAAACATACTCTGGTCTTGGGTAGGGAGACGTCGTGTTAGTTCCCACAGTACTTAATAGATTCAATGCAATAGCAATATATTTTCAACAATATTTTTGAGAGAATTTGACAAAACATTGCTAAAGTTTATCTTGAAAATTATTTAAAACGTCCAGGGAAATTTATGTGACACAAATTCAGGAATGGACAGAGGGTAATAGAACCACTTCAAGAGGTCTGAAATAGAGTTAAGTAAATAAAGAATAATAATATGTGGTGAAGTTGACTTGTCATCAGTGGATTTTAAGTGGATTCTTTTTTTTTTTAATGAATGAAAAGCTTTAATATATAAAGCTTATTTATAAATCAGTAAGAAAGTATGGTGTTCACTGAAACATAAAAATGTATAATATAGAGGACATAAAAGTTTAATTCCTAAAAGACATTGAATGTCCAAAAACACATCAAAAAATTCAGTTGGGTTAATATTTATAGGAATACAATTTTAAATGAGATACTATACCTCTTTTATCAAATCTGCAACTTTCTTTTTTCTCTTTTTTAAAATTTATTTTATTTTTAAAATGTGGGGTACAATTCGGGATTAGGTATACAAGTGGTCATCGTACAGGTGAAGTTGGATCTACCTTTGGCCCAAACCACTTTATCTGGTTTGAGATCAGGTATCCTTATTAATGTTATGTGCCCCTCCCCCCGGCAGTTTTCACCTACTGCCAATCCCTTTCTTATAGTATTAAGTGGATTCTTTAATAAAGTATTGGGACCCAATGAACCACTCTGGAAAAATTATTAAAATGTAGATTTACTCCTTACCAAAATATATTCGATTTTTAAAACTGTAATATAAAACAATGAAACCCCAATTTTTTTGGAAAAAGTCATTTTTGTTGTTGTTGTTTAGCTTTGGAATAGGCTAGGGCTTTCTTAACACCAAAAACTTTACTAAGTGAAAAATTATCATAAGATATAATCATATCAAGTGATATCATAACAAATGAAAATGCAAGATAGAACTTCAGCAAGATTTTGTTACCTCAAATAAATCAGACACTTAAGTAAAAAAATAGGCAAAGGATATGAACAGGTAACTCACAAAAGGAGCACTGCAAATACCCAAGGAAAAAAATGTCAGTATTTCATAATAAGATAGATAAAGATAGTACATTTCATTTTTCAGGCTGGGAGAAATGAAAAAGTGAGATACAACATCCGTGTTGGTGAAGTGGTAGGGAAGAGCCACCTTCCTGCACTGGAAATGGAGCGTCAGCTGGTGTCCCTTCTGGGGTCCCATTTCCAATCTGCACCAAAAGCACACCTTTGGCCTGGCACCCCAATTATCCTCAGAAATAATCAGAAACTTTGTCCACTGCAGTGTTGTGCCTATTAAGGATAAATTAAAACACAACCAAAATGTTCTTTAATAGGGTTATTGGCCAAATAAATAATACTAGTATATGCAAATAATGGAATGTGCAACCTTTTGAAAAGAATTATATACATTATTACAGGTATTCATATTATGGAGTGATTAAATGTTCACAACATATAATTTAATAAAGTAATTTCAAAGAAATATTCAGTATGTCATATAAAGTTGTATATATACTTGTGCGAATGCGTGTTCACACACACGCACAAATAATGTCAAAAAGAATGTTCACTTAGCCGGGCTCAGTGGCTCAGCCTGTAATCCCTCGCCTTGGGAGGCCGAGGTGAGTGAATTGCTTGAGCCTGCGGATTCAAGACCCGCCTGGGCAACTTGGCGAGACCTCATCTCTACAATAAATCAAAAAAATTAGCTGGGCGTGGTAGCATGCGCCTGTAGTTCCAGCTACTTGGAAGGCTGAGGCGGAAGGATCGCCAGAGCCCAGCAGGTGGAGGCTGCGGTGGCCGGGAGCGTGCTATTGCACTCCAGTCTGGGCAACAGAGTGAGACTCCAACTGAAAAAAAAAAAAAGAATGTTCACCTAAATGTTGGCAGTGGTTACTTTGGTGTCATGAACTTAGAGGTCCCTTTTCTTTTACTTTTTATACTTTCTATATTATGTAATTGTTTATAAGAAGCACACGTTCTTTTACACTCAGAAAAAAATATATCAACTTTTTATCTTGAACAACTCCCAAAGTTCACTTTGGGACTTGAATTATCCATTGTGCTGTCTACACTGACCCAGTTAGCCATATATATGCCTCAGCAATACATACTGCTGATAGCACTGTGCCCCGAGATCACCGTAGCTCAGAGGCTCAGGAGTCAGACAGGGAGGCCCAGGAGTGGCAAGTGAAGGCAGGTCCCCAGGGCCCTCGTGACGTGTTCGGTTGCCTAGATTGGGAGCCTCTGAGCACACTCTGGACAGAGAGAAGGAACCGGAGAGGAACAGGTCCAAATCAGAGAGCTGTAGGTAAAAGAGGGCAGCTGGGAGCCGGCAGAGTTTCTCTGTTGGCTCCAGAATTTGGGTTGAAGCAGAAATGAAGAGCTGGAGAAAGATTTACGATTTCTAGGCACTTTAGAAACTTTCACTCCTGGATTCTGGGGATGGCTGGAGATTTGACTTTGTCTACTCCTATGCCTAAGCTTCACATCTACAAACCGCTTTTTACTATCACTTATTTACCATTTTGCTTTAGCTTACCTTTCGGTGTTTTCTGTTTATGTAAAAAATTTATTGTAAAGTGAAATATAATCATTGGTCATTGGAAACCAGTATTACTTCCTATGAAAAATAAGATGGTGTAAAATCTATAGAGCAAAACCAAAACAGAGTGAAAACAAACCACATTTTGTGTTGTTTCGGACAAAAAGCTGTAAGCTGAGTGAGCCTGCAACCCCTCTCTGCTTGTTCAAATGGCAGGTTGGCAAGTTTTAGATCTTTTTTTTTTTCCGAGTCAGCATCTCACTCCATCACCCAGGCTGGAGTGCAGTGGCACATTCACAGCCACCGCAGCCTCAACCTGCTGGGCTCAGGTGATCCTTTCACCTTGGCCTTCCAAATAGCTGGAACCACAGGCATATGCCACCATGCCCAGCTAATTTTTGCTTTGTTCTGTTTTGTTTTGTCAAGACGAAGTTTCGCCATGTTGCTCAGGCTAGTCTTGAACCCCTGAGCTCAGGCAGTCCTCTCGCCTCCGCCTCCCAAAGTGCTGGGATTACAGGCTTGAGCCACTGCACCTGGCTTCGAAGGGTCTTAAAGGCACACTTGCCCAAAACCGAGACTTGCTCTTTAACATAAGAGACACTATGCATTCCTGACTATCCAAGTGCCATGTAAGACCATCTCATGACCCGCCAGTGGTACACACCCCACCCTAGAGGACATACTGATCTAGTCCAACACTGGCTGAGAGAAACCCCCTCCACTGTACTTCTCATTCTGTTACCCACCCTCCTGGGCAACAGGCACTGTTAGAACAGTGCCTAGTGCGGAGTGGAATCGGCAGTGGTCAGGACGTCACATCCACCTTGTCCGGCCTTGTGGTCTGCAGGCCTTCGAGGACATCTACCTGGAGGAGCGGAAAACCATCAAGGTTCTGCTCGAGTATGCTGACAAGATGTTCACCTACGTCTTCGTGCTGGAGATGCTACTCAAGTGGGTGGCCTACGGCTTCAAGAAGTATTTCACCAACGCCTGGTGCTGGCTTGATTTCCTCATCGTGGATGTGAGTGTGGGCTCCAAGAGGGAACAGAGGAAGGGAGACCCATTGCTGAGACAGAGGGGTGGAACCACAGGGCCAGGCGGGCATCTGCAGGCTAAAGCGGAGGTATGCAGCTATGCCGTGAGGCAGACAGAAGGGGAGGAGCCCACCAGTCTAAGACGCCTAGGCCCTGCCCTCAGGGTAACCAGCCTCAGAGAAATATAAGAAATAGGAGACCAGGGTCTGCCATTAGAACCCCCAATTTGGAGCCAGAGAAGAGAGAGACCTAGGCCCCTGCTTCTGGAGGAGACATTCCAAGAGCAGTTGAGGTAGGGGCATTAGCTAGGGAAGGAGTTGGGGGTTCTCCCCTCAGGTGACCAGAGAGGTGAGCAGACAAGCCTGTGCTGTAGCTAGCACTCACCACGACACTGTGCAGTGTCTGTCAGGCCCAGTAGAGCCCACATGAGTGGGATAGAGTGAGCCAAAGTCAGAGGGGAGAAGGCTGGCAAAGGGGTGCTCGGGTAGAAAATATCACTCAGGGAGTATGAGAGGTGGGGTGTGACCTGGGAGAAGGAGGAAAGCTGTGAACACTGGCTCGGGGTTCTGGGTTGCTGCCCTGGATGACGGGATCGCTGTGAGCACCTACCTACCCTGGGTATGTCCAAGAAGGGCCTGAGGCAGGAGGTCGCCATGTCTTCTGAGCACCCAGTCAGCAGGTGAAGCAGGAAGCCCCTGCGAGCAGCTACCAGGGCCCCAGGACACTGCCGGCGCAAAGAGCATGTGTGCAGGGTCCAGCGGGGTTCCTGAGCACAGTCAAGTGGGAGAGTAGTCAGAGGAGAAAACAGGGTTCTGAGCCAGAGAAGCCCTGGTTCTGTACTCAGTAAGGGCAAAGGCCAAGGGCTCAGGCAAGTGCATCTCTATGGTGGGTCCCACAGAACAGAATGAGGGTCAGGATCTGCTTTCCAGAAGATACTGGGTTTGTCAATGGCTTTGGCATCAGGCTCAGTACACCAGTAGGGGCTGTCTGTCCTTCTTGTGATTACAGAAGAATTCAGGTCTGTGCTCAATTTTCATATGCCACTCAGAAGCCAAAGGGAGGGCTCAGACCCCCAATAACCCTAACCAGGGTCCAAGCATGGGCCACCAAGCCTAGGTGAGACGTTTACCCGTGGGTGGCCATAGTGGGAGAGGCGCCTTGTGCTAGAGAGTATGCAGAGACCCAGGTGCAGGCTTTTGGACCTCCAGTCCAGGCTTCTTTCTGTCACCCCAAGTGGAAGAGGGAGGGAGGAAGCCCTACGTGCCCTGGGCAGCCCAGCTCAGCCTCTAGGGCCTCCCAAAGATGAAAGAGAGGTTGCTTGAAGCCTCCCAGTTGAGAGGCCATGGGAGGGCCAGGGATCCTGACAATTCAGCCCTGAGGCATCCTGAACCAGCTATTCCTACAGCTTTTTGGGAAGTTGGGCCTGCTGAGGGACTCTCCCAAAGCAGGCCAGAGAGAATCTGCAAAGACTTCTGGGGAAGCCCGCCCACCAACCAACTGCCACCTGCCACCATGGGAAACTCAGAGCCAAGGCCAGGAAAAGGGAACTGTCAGTGCTTCCCTGCTCGGGCCCAAGGCAGGCGAATGAGTCTGTGGAGAAGGCAGCTGAGTCTGTGGCAGGGAGGGGCCTTGCCCAAGGGTCAGCAGAAGGAAGTGGTTACTGGAATACAGCTTTTCTTGACACTGGCCATCCCACCCACCCCCATTCCCACATTTCATGGGAAAGTTGGTCTCAGGCCTCAGTGTCCAGGGAAGGATGTTTCCAGGATCAATTCTGCATTTTTTTTTGAATTGGAGTCTCAGTCTGTCACCCAGGCTGGAGTGCAGTGGCACACTCATGGCCACCCCAGTGTAGACCTGCTGGGCTCTGACGATCCTTCCACCTCAGCCTTCCGAGTAGCCAGAACTACAGGCGCGCACTACCATGCCCGGCTAATTTTTTAATTTATTGTAGAGACGAGGTCTCGCCAAGTTGCCCAGGCTGGTCACAAGTCTGCAGGCTCAGGCAATCCACTCACTTTGGCCTCCCAAAGTGCTGGGATTACAGGCTGAGTCACTAAGCCTGGCCTAATTCTGCATTTTTTCAATAAATGCAGTTGGGCATCTACTATGTACAAGCACTGTTGTAGATGCTGGGAGCTCAGGGGATAAAATAGACAAAGACTCCTGCCCACACGAAGGAAGGGGATTACAAGCAATATACAAAATTAACATGCGCGCTTTATGATAGAAAGTGATATCTGCCATGGAGCGAAGGGAACAAGGGGAGATTAGGAGTGCCAGGCCAGGGTTGGGGGGAGGGGTGGAGGGGAAGGTGCAGGTCACCACTTCAAACACTGAGGTGACATTTGAGCAGCTCAGCAGTTGGGGTTAGCCAGGCCGAAATGCAAGCAGAGGTTGGAACAGCAGTGCAGAGCTCATGGTGGGAGCACGCCTGACATACTTAAGGAACTGCCAGGAGGCCAGACAGACTGGTGCCGAGGGAGGTGCCTCAATGAGGCAAATTACACAGGATCAGGGGGTGTGCTGCCTTCGAACAAACACAGGCTTGCTTTTGTGTATGTATGTATTATGTATTTATTTGAGTCAGGGTCTCACTCTGTCGTCCAGGCTGGAGTATAGTCGCACAATCACAACTCACCGCAGCCTTGACCTTCTAGGCTCAGGCTATCCTTCTGCCTCAGTCTCCCACTAGCTGGGACTACAGGCGCATGCCACCACACCCAGGTAACTTTTTTATTTTTTTCTAGAGATGAAGTCTCACTTTGTTGTCCAGGCTGGTCTCGAACTCTTGGGCTCAAGCAATCCTCCCGCCTTGGCCTCCCAAAGTGCTAGGATTACAGACCTGAGTCATCTTGCCCAATCCTGGCTTTTATTTAGAATGAGACAGAGAGGCAGTGGAAGGTTCAGAACAAGACAGTGACATGAACTGACTTACATTCTTGAAGAATCACTGTCGTGGGAGCAAAGGTGAGGGACATCAGTGGAAGCAGGGAGAAGGGTTAGGAGGTGCTCCCCATTAGGGAAGAAATGACAGTGGCCTGGCTGGGCTAGTGACAAAGAGAAATTCTTGGACTTCTGATGTATTTTGAAGGCAGAGCCAACAGGAAATCCTGATGGTTTAGACACAGGGTGTCAGAGATGGAGGAGGCAGGGATAACGCCAAGGATTGTAGACTGCGCGGCTAGAGGGATGGCGTTGCCGTCACCTGACACCATGGGCAGAGCAGATGGGGCAAGCTTTGGAAAGAACAGGGTGGCCTGTTGGTAACTGGGTGGGCAGACTGGCTGGACTCAGTGCTCTGGAGATCCTGCCCTCAAGAAGAGGTTCCCGGAGAGATGCTTCCCGCCACAAAGAATGGGGACCCACATCCCAGCACCCTTGAGGGTTGAGTGGGGACAACATAGAGTCAACCCCGGGAGTCTTCCCTTGCAAGCATCTTTGCCGTTTCCCCTTCACCTGGTGATGCCAAGCCTGGGAGGAGGCTATGGGACTCGAGCCCCTCCCTGTAGCCCCTCCCCACCCCAGAGTGCCCCTGAGCTCCAGGATGGTTTTAGCTGTGATTACAGGAGAGGCCAGGCAGAAGGCCATTTTCAGCCTGTGATCACGGGCCAGAAGTGAAGCATGACAGGAGGGGGTGCCCATGGAGCTTTAGAGGGATAAAATCCACCGAATAGAATTGCCCTGGTGGGGTGGGGCAGAGGAAACAGAGCTAAGCTGTCCATGGCCATCATGTCCCCACCTGTGCTTTCCTCCTTTATAGGTACTTGCATGTTGTCAAGTCTGGCTTTGGGGAAATGCCCAGGATGGTCTGTTTGCTCATTCTCAACCCAGGACTGCCCTTCCTTCCCGCAAAGAGGCTTCACCGGAGAAGGAAGAGACAGGCCAAGAGTCTGACTTGAAGCAAAGAATATGATGTCACTGCCCTGCCACACCTGCAGGGCGGCCTTAGAACTCACTTTCCTCATCTGTAGGATAGGGATGATGCACCCCAATGCCACAGAGTTAGTGGGGCTATCAGAGAGCATGTGTGTGATGTGCACCTAGGAGCCTCTCAGCAACAGCCTAAAAACTGGGCCATTCTCAGGCTCACCCCAGCATCTTGGGCTCCAGGAAACCTGGCCTGGTGCATGACAGGCCTATGAAGATGATCCAACACAGGAGGCCTGCTGGCTCTCTCTCACCCAGCTGTGGTCCCCCAGCCCTGTCCCCCAGCCAGGAGCCCTGCCATCTGTCTCTAGTGCTGCTGCCATCTCCACTTTGCCTCCCACAGGTCTCGCTGATCAGCCTGGTGGCCAACACTCTGGGCTTTGCTGAGATGGGTCCCATCAAGTCACTGCGGACGCTGCGTGCACTTCGCCCCCTGAGAGCCCTGTCACGATTTGAGGGCATGAGGGTAAGAGAGGCGGCTGCCTTCCCACAAAGGAGTGGGAGGTGGTCACCCTGAGGGACCCCTAGGCTCAGCTTGCTGACCAAGCTGACTTGGTAGGAGTATGGTCCAGAATCTTCAGGAGAGGCGCCACCGGGCCCAGAGGCAGCCAGAGGTAGAGGCTCGCACCTCCGGCCCTGTGGGCTCCAGTGAGGGCCTGGAGAGCACTGGACAAAGAGGAGGCAAGAGCTCACTGGGGCGCAGGCGTCTCAGCTACATGCCAGCCCACTGGCACCCAGGGTCCCTGTGCTTCTTCTGTCCTGTGGGGCCACATCTCTGTGTGTGTCCACTCTATGTGTCCGTTTGCGTCCTCTGCCTCCTGGCAGATGCAGGCAGCCTTCCCTCTGTCTGTGATGGGCAATGGGGCTGGGATCAGGAGGGTAAAGGAAGAAGTATGGAGCAATCTGTGTTCTCACCATCAGATGTAGGTCGCAAAGTGAAATGGTCACGTGCTTCATGAGCTCCTCTGCACTGTTGCTTAGTGCAGATCGCTGTGCATTTTCACGTCGCCACATTTTGTCAAAGAATGTGAGCATAGATGGTAGTGCTAAAAGCCCACCAAAAAAAGCATTAGCCATGATATATAGCAAGAAAGCAAACGTGTGTGTGTGTGTTTTAAGCAAAGCATATACTGTTCTGTGTGACTTCAGAAGATACATCTATGTGTCTCTCACTGACTGACCCAGCAGGCACTATCACACGGCTCACCAGTTGGTTGATGACTTTGAACCTTGCCCATAGCCCCAATTCATGGAGAAACAGATAGGTTATTCCCAGTGAAAAGCCATCCACAAGTGAATAATCCGACTTATTATTCAGAGTTAAATTTCTCTTGAGAACAAGGACATTTTATTCCAAAAGGGTGCTGGGAGACACTAGGTGCCAGGAATGCCTCTGCTGTGGCCGGTGGTCACATAGTCAGCCCAGGGCAGACTCCCTGGGTCTCCCGAAGCCCCTGGAGCTTGGTGCCCTGAGAGATGAATTTGCTACCCTGTTCTATGGCTCATCATGTTGGGGAACAGCTTCTCTGTTCTGACATCTGGGCCCTCTGGACCACACTACACAGTCCATCACCAGCATCACCTCCTGTCTGTGTGGCACACATGTTTCTGGTTCATGGACAGCTGAGGACTCGGTTCCTGAGTGGGGTGAAGTGTCCCAAATGCATCTGCCAGGGAAGCCTCTCCTGGGGGCTGTGAGTTTAGATGAAGAGCATGAGGCTGAGCCTCCATGGAGTCAGAGGGCCCCTCACTGGGGAGCGAGAGGCATGGGGAGCACCCATGCCACCTGCCCTCTGACTCTGCTCTTACAGGAGCATTAGAGGATTGTCACAGCACCCTGCAGACACTGCATGGAAGTCCCCTGGGGTATACATTATGGGAGAACACCCATCCATCTCACAACAACCCTAAAATAAGCCAGAAACCTAGCTCAGAGAATGTAAGGACTGGTGGCCATACATAGGAGGCCCAAAGTCCTGGGGACATGTTTTGAGAGGTCCTTTCCCAACAGATTACTGGCATACTCAAGTAGCAGGGGCCCTGCTGAAAATCAAGTGTAGAAGGTCATTATGGATTCAGGGCAGGACCAAGAAGGGAAAGGTCAATGTTCTGGACTTGCATCAGACTTTAGGGTACACTCCCCTCACTCTCCACCGGGGCTTCCAGCCATGGCGTTGGCCTCTCCCATGGCCACAGGATCCACACCCCTACCCCCACAGCCACCTGGAGCCAGGGAGTTCAGTCAGCAGGGGGTATTGAAAAGGGCGTATGCTCGGGGCATCCCCAGGAACTGAGCCTCCTCTCTGTCCACTTGAGGTGGTGGTGAATGCTCTGGTAGGCGCCATCCCGTCCATCATGAACGTCCTCCTCGTCTGCCTCATCTTCTGGCTCATCTTCAGCATCATGGGCGTGAACCTCTTCGCAGGGAAGTTTGGGAGGTGCATCAATCAGACCCAGGGAGACCTGCCTTTGAACTACACCATTGTGAACAACAAGAGTGAGTGTGAGTCCTTCAACGTGACCGGCGAATTGTACTGGACCAAGGTGAAAGTCAACTTCGACAACGTGGGGGCCGGGTACCTGGCCCTTCTGCAGGTGGTAAGTCCTGGAGAGAAGGGACTTCCTTCCTCTCACTGGCTCTCCAGCGGCATGAGTCTTCATCCACAGGGTAGTCGGGAAGGGCAGTGGGGCCACACTGAATCTTCACTGTAGGATCACAGTGCCCGAAGGAGGCAAAGAATTCTCCAGGGACTTGACTCCTTGGGAGGTTGCCAGACTTGCAGTTCCAGAGCAGATGCCACATTCTCCAAGATGCAAGGGGATCAGGTCACCATTGTGGCAGAACCAACTCTCCAGCCAGTAGCCAAGTGGAACTCTTGGTCAACTATCAGGCTGTCAGGCAGTGTGATGGCCCAAGTTAAAAATGAAAGACTATAGACTACCCAGGAGCTGAGCTATTCGTAAAATTGTGACTTGGCCACCCTCTATTATAAAAGGTAGTCATAGCTCTTGTGTTGTTTAAAAGAATATGTGTATCTCCATCTTTAGTGTGTAAGATTTGTGATGTTTTAAACACACACAGCCCTCTAGAGTTTCCATTGATTGTGTGGGTATGGTGGCTTCAGTGATTACTAACACAGGCCAGTCATTATCCTTGACAACAGATAGGCAAACAGAACCATAGTTTATAAAGCTGTGCCTTGCTTGTCTTGCTATTCCAACCTTAAGCCCAGACACCTGCCTCTAGTCCCCAAAGCAGAGGAAAACTCAGCGGACTCTCACCTGAAGACTCTGTGTGCCTCCACACACCTCTGTCCAGCCCTTCAGTTACATAGTCCTGTCAAGACTCCCCTGCATTGCCTAGTGGAGAATGGGATTAGCACCAGCCACAAAGAGCTATTTGTTCCCCTGACTGTCCCTCTGAATGTCAGGACTTGAAAAGGAAAGGTCTTGTAGACTGAGAACTGCTCTCCTCTCCAAACAGAACCACTAAGTGACTGGGAAGAATTCAGTCATAAGCATCTCATAACCTTGGGGCACCTGGGTGGCAGTGGGGGGGGGGTTCCCAGCAGTTTACAAAACATTTCCAGGCCTCTTTTTATAGGTGAGGGCCTCTGGTACAAGGAGCTAAAATAAAGTAGCTTGCCTTCTATGGGTAGCCCCAGCTTCCTGCCCTTCCTGCCTCAAGAGCTCTTAGACACAGGAAGTTTGTGTAGCTGAGCTCATGCCTCAAAAGGAAGCTCAGGGCAAGATTGGATTTTGCCAAGGACACAAGTGAGATTCCACTGGGCAGTCTGTCTCACTACCACGAGTGTCTCTTGGGCTTTTTCTGAATCTTCATAGCAGCCAGACTCAGGAAGACAATGTAGCCAGCCCTGGGGCCCTGTCTTGTTCAGTCTCCCTCTTTATTCCCTTGGCATGGTGTGTTAGGGCCAGCTGGTGCCAGCCCACAAGAGCTGACTGTTATAGCTTCAGAAATTTTGCAAGCTGGTTGTTGAGCACAGTCATAAAAAATTAAATTTTATAAATTTATAAAGTTAACTAGATTATATTAAAACAAAGGTCATCAGTACTCAAAAACTTGCTGTCACTTTCCATCCTCATCTGTTCTTGAAGAATTTACACCTACTTTGTCTGGACAGTGGGAATGCCATAATGCCACACTCCTTTGCATTTTCTCCCAACTCCACTCAGTAGTATTGCATTGGTATCTTAAAATCGGTGGTGGTGGAAATATTTACACCAGAGAAATTGGCAAACACAGCAATCAGGGCTTTTTCTTTTCTTCTGGAAAGCCACTTGTTAACCATTCACTGTTGGCAAAAGAGCCTCTTTAAGTACAAGGAAAGGTTGGGATTCTTGTGGGAATTCCTTTGAAAGTCCATGGAGCAAAAGATTCTCTGAAGTGCACAACAAGGGAGACCAGGTCATCACTGGGATCAGAACACATAATCCAAGGTGCACCTCTTGGTCTCTGATACCCACTCACAGGACTCTGTAACTTTAGAATTGGCAATGAATGTGGATCTGAAAGGCAGACCTCTTTCAACCCTCCTCAGACTCTTGGCCTCAACCAAGAAACTCATTCGCCTTTGCATGGTCTTCTTGGGGTGTCTGCTCAACTGCTTCCTGTCCGCCCCCAGCCCTAAACAAGGCTTTTCTCCAACCTCCCAGTCATTTGGACACTGCTGAAGGGGTGGGGGCGAGGCTGCTTGCTTCTTGTAGGAGAATCTTTCCTGGCTAATCTGTCCAGACAGGAGACCTAAGTAGTTCAAGCAAGACGCAGTCTTAATGATGCTTTTAATCTTGTCTTTTCCTTTCAGGCAACATTTAAAGGCTGGATGGACATTATGTATGCAGCTGTGGACTCCAGGGGGGTAGGTTGCCGCAGTGGTCTCCCCCACATCAGGCACCTGAGGCTCCTGGATGCTTGACTACCAGAGAATCAGTGTCTGCATTTGAAAGCCCAGTCCACAAGGGCCCGATGGATCGCATGTGTCAACCTGGGGTTTAGCCCTGCTGGAATGCCCAGGCCTGGCCCTGAGGCAAGGTTGCGTGGTACCCCAAGAAGTCCTAAAATTCCCAATGTCTCTCAAATTAAACTCACTGTAGTTTATTCAGATCTTACCCCAGAAGTATGGGGTGGAAGCAACAGAGATGCAGATCAAGTCTCTTCTTTGTCCTGTGCCCCACCCGATCACACTAACAGTCCAGTGAAGACTGAGAGAAGACCCTGTACACTCCAACTTCCCAGTGGCCCAGGGCCAAAGCCATGCACTGATACTGTGCCAGCCAGGAGCGTAGCATGCCTGCTATCCTCACCTGTCCCCACCCACTCCTCTCACCTCTGGCCACAGACATGCACACCTGGGCTGGTGACCTTCCTCTGGACACACCCTCCCACAGAATGGACAACCCCAGTTGGCCCTCTGCCTCCCACCCCTCCCCTCCTGCCTGGTTCTTGAGACCCCAGCCTGTCTGATCTTGCTGTCTGATCTCTCCCCCTCAGTATGAAGAGCAGCCCCAGTGGGAATATAACCTCTACATGTATATCTACTTTGTCGTTTTCATCATCTTCGGGTCTTTCTTCACCCTGAACCTTTTCATCGGTGTCATCATTGACAACTTTAACCAACAGAAGAAAAAGATACGTAGAGCACAGGCTCCCACCTGGACAGGGCAGGGGATGGAGGAGCCCTTCCGGCTCCAGGCCCCTCTCACCTTCCTGTTGGGGATGGTTCTGCTGGAATGGGGTGGAGAGGAGGGTGCGCCCATGGAGGTAACACAACTAGGCCTGTAAAAATTCGAGAAAGGTCCTTGGTGGGAGGCCCCATGCCTGCCCTACTCTACCTAAGAGAGGAGGCTCCTGAGAGAAGCTGGGGTGAAGGTTGAGATCACCTGATTCATGATCAGAGGTCATGGGTGGGGCCTGCGTAGAGGTCCCAGGTCTTCTTGGAGCTCCATCAGGGATGTCTGGGTTGCAGGCAAATCATGGGGACACAGCCAGGTGTGGTAACTCACACCTGCAATCCCAGCACTTTGGAAGGCGAAGGTGAGAGGATTGCCTGAGCCCATGGGTTCGAGACCAGTCTGGGCAGCATGGCGAGACCTTGTCTCTACAATAACACAAAAACTCAGCCGTACATGGTGACACATGCCTGTAGTTCCAGCTACTTGAAAGGCTGAGGCGGAAGGATCGACTGAGCCCAGGAGGTCGAGGCTGTGGTTGCCATGAGCGTGCCACTGCACTCCAACCTGGATGACAGAATGAGAAACTGACTCAAAAAAAAAATTATGGAGACAGAGCAAACCCCCATTCTGGCTGAGTTGGGAGGGGGAGGTGGGGATGAGACTTTGATTTGCAGGTCATAAAGTCAGAGAGATCTCAAGGTAAATGGGGACAGGGACCATGTATAAACAGGTTTGGGTAAGAACCTCTGATATGGGTTAGGGGCATAGTTCCTCCACCAGGAGAGGAAGCAAAGAGATGGTTGACCCTGTCCTGGCACCTTCATCAAAGAGGCAAGTTCCCTGTGCCCTCCCTTCTGAGGTCTCTGAGAACCCCAAAATGAGGCTTGTGCTTGTCTCTCTGCACTTAGGGGGCCAGGACATCTTCATGACAGAGGAGCAGAAGAAGTACTACAACGCCATGAAGAAGTTGGGCTCTAAGAAGCCCCAGAAGCCCATCCCACGGCCCTTGGTAAGCTAGACTCCTGATTCAGCAGTAGTGGGAAGATCTTCTAGGGGGTCCTGGGAAGCCCCCACGCCCCCACAGCCAGCCAGCAGAGCCTCTTCTCAGTCTTTCAACCCAGTCCGAGGGGTGCTCTAAGATGTTTGACCACACAGAGAGGTCTCAGTCTCATACAGACAGTGAAGAAGGTGTAAGAAGATTGTGGCATCCAGGGAACCCTCCCCACCCACAGGACTCTCTCTGCCCCTTGAGTGAGGTTCTTCCTTCCCTTTAAGGACACAGGCTTTCCCCAGGGAAAGAGGGACAGCCTTCACATCCCCCATCCCCATTCATACCGTTATCCTTAGAACCCCCAGAACAGTCAGTGCACTGTATTCCAGAGTTCCCTGGTGGGGAGAGCTTGAAGCTCTGTAGAGCTGGGTCTTCTGCTAGGCTGACTCCCTCCCTTGGCCTGACCATGCCATTCTCTAAAAAGTTGTGTGTGTGTGTGTGTGTGTGTGTGTGTATAAGCACAGGGATAGGGAAATACTCAAATTAGATGACGTAACCTAAATCATTAGCTAGAGTGGCAGCCCCAGTTTTTTTTTAAATCTAATTCATCAATTTCATCTGGTTCTTTCCTGTTTGCCATGCTCTGTTCTAGGCTGGGGGCGGGGTGCGTATGTATGTATGTGTATGTTGACTCATTTATAATCTGATCTCTTCCCCAAACTAATCTAGGCTGATTTACAATTAAAAAGATACATATAAATATGGTTAGTAGAATAAATAAAACCAATTTCATAGAAAGAGTAGAGAAAATATATTAATCTAAGGGCTGATACAACTACTAGGATTGAAGTTTAAATTTGACCTTGAGCCTTCAGACTATGGGAAGAAAAAGACAAGCACAGTGAACAGTGTGCTAAGCACACTCAGGGTAGGAGAAATCTCTCCCTAAAGATCCATCAGGGAAGGCTTCTTGGAAGAGGAAGCCTCAGTTGGGGCTGGGCCTGGAAGCCCAGGGAACATTTCAGCAGGGGAACCAGCTGTTTCAGCCTCTAGGACTTCTTACTCTGTACTCACCATGGCAGTGTAGCAGGGCTTTGGGCTCACCAGAGGATGGAATGGGAGGGTGGTGGTCTGGGCTGAGAGGTAGCCACAGGCAGCTTGCTAGCCTGCCTGAGAGCCCTGCTAAGCCCATCCCATTCACCCCTTCTTTCAGAACAAGTACCAGGGCTTCATATTCGACATTGTGACCAAGCAGGCCTTCGATGTCACCATCATGTTCCTCATCTGCTTGAATATGGTGACTATGATGGTGGAGACAGATGACCAAAGCCCTGAGAAAGTCAACATCTTGGCCAAGATCAACCTGCTCTTCGTGGCCATCTTCACAGGCGAGTGTATTGTCAAGATGGCAGCCCTGCGCCACTATTACTTCACCAACAGCTGGAACATCTTCGACTTTGTGGTTGTCATCCTCTCCATCGTGGGTGGGTATGCAAGTCAACTGGACAGAAAAGCCTTCCCCAGGCCAGGCCTTTCCTCCAGCCCCTGAGTCTCTATTTAATGCCAAGTACAACCTAGTCTCCTTCATTCTTTTTTTTCTCTGCATTTCTCACCCCTCTTCACACACACACACACACACACACACACACACACACACACACACACACACACACACACTCACTCCTCCAGAGGGAACTTATCTGGGAGAGTCTACTCAGGCCAAGAGCGCCAACTTGGCAGAGAACCCAGCACCCTCTCCTGACCTCACCCTCTAGGGGCCCTGGGAACATAGTTCTCTGACTGCTTGGAGAGTTTTGAGGATGGGAAAGGGGGTGGGTGCTATGGAAACTTGTTCTACCCTCCCAAAGGAAAGCCTGCACCCTAGGTTGAAGGAGGAAGAAGCTCACTCAGGGTGACATGAGTTCTCAGGAACAGAAGATTGGTGGCCCTTTCGGGTAGAAGTTATCCCTAGAGATAGAAAATTCTGGAGTCCAACCACCAAGGTGTGTCCCAGGCTTGTTCAAGCATCACCAGTTTCATGCAGTTCTCCTTGCAAAGTCAGCACCAAGGGAGGAAGACCACACAACTAGGGAGAAGCAGAGATACGATCACACTCATGTCTGACCCCAGAGCCCAGATTCCCTTTGTTATATAACAGCTTTATTGAGCTATAATTCGCACAGCATAAAGTTCACAGAAAGTTAATGTAAAATTCATTTTGAAGTATACAATTCAGTGACTTTTAGTATATTCACAGAGCTGTGCAACCATCACCACTGTCTAATTCTAGAATATTTATTCCTCATCCCCAAAAGAAGCTCTACCCATTTAGTAGTCATCCCTCACCTCCCTTCTCCCTCAGCGCCTGGCAACCACTAATCTAAAATGTTGAGGGACTGCCACACAGTTTTCCCAATTGGCCACCCCTTTTTCCATTCTCACCATCAATGTATGAGCATTCCAGTTATTCCATCAGCACTTGTTATTGTCTATATTTTGTATGAGAGCCATCCTAGGGAGTGTGAAGTGATATCTCCTTGAGGTTTGTACTTTCCTGATGACTAATGATGCTGGACATCTTTTCATGTGCTTATTGACCATTCGTATATCTTCTTTGGAGAAATCTCTATTCAAATTCCTAGCTCATTTTTAATTGGGTTATTTATCTTTTTATTGTTGGGTTGTAAGAATTCTTTACATATTCTAGATACTGGTGCTTTATCAGATCTATGACTTGCAAATATTTTTTCCCAGCCTATGGGTTTTTTCATTCCTTGGTGATATCTAATGAAGCACAAAAGGTTTTAATTTTAATGAAGTCCAAGTTATTTATATTTTTCCTTTTGGCACTTCTGCTCAGATCCCAGACTCTTGACCACATGGAGGTCGGCCTTGGGATGAGTCTGACTTTGTCTGCCATATGCAACCTCTGCCTCTAGTGGATATCACGGGTACTGCAGGAGCCGAGGCAGGCACGGCTGTGATTACAGAGATGCCCAGATGGTTAGAAGCATGAAGTAGGGTCCTCAATGCTGGGAGGTCCCGGACGGATGTGAGGGTAACAGAGTGCCTTGTGGGACTGGAAAGAAGCTTTAGAGAATGCAGGATGTCAGCAGCAGGAATGAAACTACTGAGGGACAATCTCAGATACTTCGGGAGGTATAGCATGTACTTGTCTTGGTGCTTGGACGGTACCAAGGGAAGTGGTTAAGAGGTCAACTTGGAGCCAGAGTGTCTGAGTCAGATCCCAGCTTTTCCCTCACTGGGTAGCCACTTGAGTAGTTACTTCACCGTTCAGTTTCCTCTTCTGGAAAATGAGGATGATGGGATCTGCTCACATCCTGGGGTGACAGGAAGGACTAAATGAAATGATAGCTTTAATGCTTGGCTCATTGCCCTGTTGACAGTAGACACTGGACGCATGTCAGCCAGTGACATTATTATTATACAAAGAGTCTAGAAAGGGCACTTGGGCCAATATGAGACAAGTTTATTTCACTCTTTCTTCTATAATTTATATTCGTGCTCCTTCAAACTTCAAACCCAGGTAGTCACTAGAGACCCAGGAGTGCAGAGAAGCACTGGAAGGAAGTAGAGTTAGAAAAGTGATAGGAACATCACAGAGAGGCTGGGAGAAGATACTGAAGCATGGCATGATGTTGGGGGAGCACTGATTTCAGGGTCAATGTTTTCTTGCCCTCCAATATACACATAAGTCATCTGGGCTTGTTAAACTGCAACAGACTGGGGAGTGGAGCTGAGGTTCTGAATTTCTAACAAGCAGTCAGGGGACCCCAAGGCTGCTGGTCCTTGGGCCACACTTTGAGTAGCAAGGAACTAAAAGGCCTGAGTTCTCGTCCAGGCTGGGTTGTCGAGGTTCTCCTACATCAGAACCCATGACGTAGAAAATAGGCCTAGTATAGCTCTTTTGAGCAGGTATTCGCTGAAGACTAAGGAGCACAGGCGCTGAGAAGGCATTCTGCAAAGGATGTGGGTCCTCATTTTCTGGATCATCAGTGCAGACATGGAGATTCAGAGAGGCGGGAGCCCAGAGTCCTGGTACAGTGGACCCAGTCCTCCTGGAAGGGCCTCCTCTCCCTGGCTCCTTGCTGTGTACAGAGACAACCCTTCTAAATGATACCGGCTGGAGGGAGGACAGAAGTCCCATCAGTGGCCACAGTCTCTGTTGTTTCCCCACAGGCACTGTGCTCTCAGACATCATCCAGAAGTACTTCTTCTCCCCGACGCTCTTTCGAGTCATCCGCCTGGCCCGAATCGGCCGCATCCTCAGACTGATCCGAGGGGCCAAGGGGATCCGCACGCTGCTTTTTGCCCTTATGATGTCCCTGCCCGCCCTCTTCAACATCGGGCTGCTGCTTTTCCTCGTCATGTTCATCTACTCCATCTTCGGCATGGCCAACTTCGCTTATGTCAAGTGGGAGGCTGGCATCGACGACATGTTCAACTTCCAGACCTTCGCCAACAGCATGCTGTGCCTCTTCCAGATCACCACATCGGCTGGCTGGGATGGCCTCCTCAGCCCCATCCTCAACACGGGCCCCCCCTACTGCGACCCCAATCTGCTCAACAGCAATGGCTCCCGGGGGAACTGCGGGAGCCCAGCCGTGGGCATCCTCTTCTTCACCACATACATCATCATCTCCTTCCTCATCGTGGTCAACATGTACATCGCCATCATCCTGGAGAACTTCAGTGTGGCCACGGAGGAGAGCACCGAGCCCCTGAGCGAGGACGACTTTGACATGTTCTATGAGATCTGGGAGAAGTTCGACCCAGAGGCCACCCAGTTCATTGAGTATTCGGCCCTGTCCGACTTCGCCGACGCCCTGTCCGAACCGCTCCGTATCGCCAAGCCCAACCAGATAAGCCTCATCAACATGGACCTGCCCATGGTGAGCGGGGACCGTATCCACTGCATGGACATCCTCTTTGCCTTCACCAAGAGGGTCCTGGGAGAGTCTGGGGAGATGGACGCCTTGAAGATCCAGATGGAGGAAAAATTCATGGCGGCCAACCCATCCAAGATCTCCTACGAGCCCATCACCACCACACTCCGGCGCAAGCACGAGGAGGTGTCAGCCACGGTCATCCAGAGGGCCTTCCGCAGGCACCTGCTGCAGCGTTCCGTGAAGCATGCCTCCTTCCTCTTCCGTCGGCAGACGGGCAGCAGTGGCCTCTCCGAGGAGGACGCCCCTGAGCGAGAGGGCCTCATCGCTTACATGATGAATGAGAACTTCTCCCAGCCCCTTGGCCCGCCCTCCAGCTCCTCCATCTCCTCCACATCCTTCCCACCCTCCTATGACAGTGTCACCAGAGCCACCAGTGATAACCTCCAGGTCCGGGCGTCTGACTACAGCCCTAGCGAAGATCTTGCTGACTTCCCCCCGTCCCCAGACAGAGACCGTGAGTCTATTGTGTGAACCTCGCACCAGCTGGCCAGGACACACTAAAAGGTAGCCTGTCACATCATGGCAAACCTGAATGCAGTCACAGTCCAGCCTGGGGCCTTCCTGGCTTGGAGCTTTGGGGGTGAGAGATGGCCTCAACCCCATAGATCAACAAGGCAGAGTTCTGTGGCACCACTTGGGCAGCCAGAGCAGTCAGGGGAGCCGACTTTTCAGGATGGGCTGTCCCTGCAGGCCCCACACGTACCTGTGGCCTCGTCTGGTCAGGCAATGCCCTGGGGCTCTGAAAAGCAGCTCCATCCCAGCTGCTGAGACAAAACATAAAACTGAAACTATGTATGTTGTGAATGGGCTTTCATAAATTTATTATATTTGATATTTTTTTACTTGAGCAAAGAACTAAAGTTTTTTCCATGGACATCGGCAGCGATGCATGCTGCCTCTTCTGAACCCTGAACATGAGTGTCTATGGAGCAGCCAGAACTCTGTTCTCAAAGCAAAAGTGGAATCCAGTGTGGCTCCCACAGGCCTTCACTTCCCCTGGCTGAAATGGGGTCTCCCTTTTGCTTAGGCTGCGGGGCCAGGAGGGCTGACCCCCAACCTCACTCACACATGCATGTGCACATACCTCACGCACAGCATGGCCAAAACAGGCCACGAGTGTTGGGCCCTAGGCAAAGGGAGACAGGCCTTTCCCTAGGCCTCATGGAGGGGGTTCTTGTCCATGGAGTGAACCGGCCTTCCCCTGTCTCCAGGATTCCGTTTTTCCCCATGTTTTTACACGGGCCACATTGGGATCAATGCTGCAAAAATAAAAGGCTTCCAGAGGAGAGTGGCCTGGGTCCCAGGGCTGGTCCGATGCACTGTTGTTGCCTTTTCTTCCCCTCCTGTAAGAGTATTAACCTTAAAATCGAAGGGCACAAGGGAGCCAGCCCCACTCACAGCCTGGCATATGGCTTGTTCTTGCTCCCAGAGCCTGGCAGGGCCTGCCCCACAGGCCAAGAAAGCCATGTGATGTAGGGCAAAGAAGTTCAGCAGTGGCATTCAGCCACGGTGACCTTTGGCCCAACTGCAGAAAAGAACCCGCTGCCATCTCCCAGGGCTCTCTCTCCGGATTTTTTTGCCTCTGGCCATGTGGGGAGGAGACTTCTGTGTGATCCCAGCTTCTCTCCAGATGCAGCGGCATGGGCGTGAGGAGGGTGGCTTAACCTTGTGCAGTGACAAAGCTTCAGGATGGTCAGGCGCAGTTCTTGTGCCCTGGGAGGGGGATGGACCAGGGCCCTCTGAGAGAAGGAGTGCTGTGGCCCAGAGAGGTGGCCCCATAGGTCTTGTGAGAAGGTTTTTTCAGGGAAAAATACTTTTACTAGTTCAATTACCCCCAGGACCTCTCCAGCTGCTGACAATCCTATTTAGCATATGCAAATCTTTTAATGTAGAGCGCTAAGGTGACAGGGTCAGCTGGTGGAGCCAGCTCTCCAGCAGAGCTACTGTCCGCTGGGTGTCTGCCTACAGGCCACCTCAGTCTCACATGCCCGCTCCGGGCTAGCTGCTCCTAAACCTACCTCGCCGAGCTGTCAGAGGGCTGGACGTGTGTGACCCTCGTGGCAGTGCTGAAGGGGGGCATTGCCGGCGAGTCAAGTATTATGTTTCTTCTCGTCACCCCAGTTCCCTTGGTACCCAGCCTGTACCCTACCCCCCTAGAGATTTCTCCCATGTTCCCTTTGAGTCCAGTGTGGGACATGGTTTTAACTGTCCCAGCAGCACTTCTCTGCGTGGAAATCTTATTTTTGTAGATCTCTGTGCTTTGCTCCCAAGGCTTGGAGAGGTGTGTGCCCCTCCTGGGCTCTCACCACTACCGCATAGTCAGGAATGCAGTTGGGAGGCAGGCCGGGCTGCCAGCCCAGCTGGCCGGAAGGAGACTGTGGTTTTGTGTATGTGGACAGCCCAGGAGCCTTGAAACAGGTGCCCAGGGCTGGCTGTAGACAGTGTGGCTGAGGGCAGGGACCAGCTAGACCCGGCCCCTTAGCTTTTAGCGTGGCTCTCATCATTTTTATTTCCAGAACTGCACAGTGACCAGCAGGAGGGGAGAAGAAGGTAGGAAAGAGGAGGGAGGGACAAGCATCAAGTGCCAGATGTTGTCTGAACTAATCGAGCACTTCTCACCAAACTTCGTGTATAAATAAAATACATATTTTTAAAACAAACCAATAAATGGCTTACAGGACCTGGTCTGGGCTCTGTTCTTACTCAGATTTGACAGGGGCAGTGGCAGAGACCTAAGGGGCTATGCAAAGGCCTCACCTGACCAAGTCTGGAGAATGGTGCTGTCAGAAGCTGCAGAGAGGGGAGTCCAAGAACCAGAAGGGCCTCGGTGCCTTTCCTAGGAAATGGCTGGGAGTACGGGCTGGTCAGGGACAAACGCAGTGCGGGCACAGCAGTCTGCCCCACTGTGTGAGGACACACAGGCCCTGCCTTCCAAGACTTCCAGTCCGGGGCACTGAGGAGGGTGACAGCACGCATGTATTGGGCCAGGAGCGGCTTCTGGAGCACAAGCCACGGCTGCCTTGAACCTGTGACACCTGACACTGGCTTCCTCACCCTTACCTTCCCCTCCTCTGCCCCTCGCTGAGGCCAGCCCAGCCCATGCCAAAAGTGCTCTGCTAGCCTGCGGGCTCCTCAGGGCTGGATCCGGTGGCACCTTCTCTGTCCTCATCTGGTATGTCCCTCCGCAGCATTTAACGTGATGAATGGTGGCCCTTTCTGGAAATCCTCCCCCGCCTCTGGCTTCTGTGGCGCCATCCTCTTCAGGGTTTCCTCCTGTTTTTCTTTTCTTTCCTTTTTTCCAATTGTTTGAATGGTGGTAAAAAACACATAAGCTCTACCATCTTAACTTTTTTTAAGTGTACAGGTCAGGAATTAAGGACATTCACAGTGATGTGCAACCATCACCACCACCCATATCCAGACCCCTCTTCATCTGGCAAAAATGAAACTCTGTCCCTATTAAACACTGACTCCCCATTCCTCCCTCCGCCAGCCCCTGGCAACCACCATCCTACTTTCTGTGAAAGTGATTGTTCTAGTTACCTCATATAAGTGGAATCATGTAGTAGATGTCCTTTTATGATCATCTTATTTCATTTAGTGTAATGTCCTCAAGGTTCATTCATGTTGTAACATACCTATTTAGGATTTTTTTTTTTCCCCAGAATTTTTCCTGGATTTTTTTTTTTCAGGATTTTTCGGAACGTCCTTCCTTTTTAAGGCTGAGTAATATTCCATTGTTTGTATCTTGCTTCTCCATTCAACCAGTGATGGAAACTTGGGTTACTTCCACATTTTAGCTATTGTAAAGAATGCTGTTGTGAGCATGAGTGTACAAATAACTCTTTGGGACTTTGCCTCAACTCTTTTGGGCATATACCTAGAAGTGGAATTGCTACATCATGTGATAATTCTAATTTTAATTTTTGAGTAACTGATTTCCAGAGTAGCTATGGCATTTTACATTCCCACCAGCAGTGCACAAGGGTTCCAGTTTCTCCACACCTTTATCAACACTTGTTCTTTTCTGGGTTTTTGAGATAGTCACCATCCTGATGGGTGATACCTCTTTGTAGTTTTGACCTGCATTTCCCTAATGGTTAGTGATGCTGAACATCTTTTTATATGCTTATTGTCCATCTGCATATCTTCTTTAGAGAAATGTCTATTCAAGTCCTTTGAATTGGGTTGTCTGGTTTTTTGTTGTTGAATTTCAGAGTTCTCTACCTATTCTGAATATTAATCCTTTATCAGATATATGATTTGCACATATTTTCTCCCAGTCCGTGGGTTACCTTTTTACTCTGCTGATACTGTCTTTGGATGCACCGTTTTTTAAATGTCCATGAAGTCTCATTCTTACCTACTTTTTCTGTTGCTACCCACACCTCCCTGTCTTATTGTGCCTTTTCAGCCTCCTTTGGGAAAATGTCCTCCAGGGTCTGACTGATGTTCAAGTTCTCTAGGGCCTCTGTCCTCCCCCAAGGTCAGAGTGGAAAGCACATTCTCATCCCCTCCATGGCTCTGAAGAAGTCTTGATCTCTATCCTGAGCCCGGGCCTCTCCCCAACTCCCTAGGCCAGTGCACCCAGCTGCCTGCTCTGGACATCTCCAGAGCTTCAAGCCCAGCCTGTACAACTCTGAGCTCCTCCGCCTCCCTGAGCCTCTCGCAGATGCCTTCCTCAGCTGCACGCTCCCCACCCTCCACCCCCGACCCAGTCCAAGCCCTGTGGGCCTCACCTCCGTAACATCTTTCAAGTCTCACCCCTTGACTCCATTTTGCTGCCCCTTCGCTGGTTGAGGCCAGCATCTCGCCTCATGGAGACCACCAGGGCAGCTCCTTCCTCTAACCTCATCCATTCCAAACTCTTCACCACTCAGCTACCAGAGCGATGTTTTAATCCAAGGTAATCGCCCCAGATGAGACTGCTCAGTGGCTTTCTGTTGCCTCGGGATCAAGGCCTCAGCCCTGTGTGACCCAGCCCTGCCAACCCCTGTGATGGCATACCTCTCCAACCCTTCAAAGGCTCCAGGCTCTTCCTCCTCCTGGCCTTGCCAGCTGCTGCTGCCTCTTCCCAGCACACTCTCCCCTTCTCCGGGAACCTCTCCTGACACCTCCCAGCCCCTTCCTCATGACTTGCCCTCCCTTGGAACCTCCCTGTCACAGCACTCAGTACTGCTTGCACACGCCTGTGGAGCTGGCATGTGAACAAACATGAGCCTTGATGTAATAGAACCTAACCTTTTATTTCCATCCCTCCCTGTCCCTTTCAGCTTTATTCAGTGGAGATCAAATTCCCTGGCCCCAGAGAGAGCCCAGGCAGATCCTGTAGCTTTTCAGCTCAGTCTTGGGCAAAAGCTAGGCAGCCTACGCTCACTTTACGATGTAAATACAGTCTCAGCCTGACCAGAACTGCATTCAGTCCCATGAACAGTCGGAGACAGGGGTGCTGGATGACTGCTCTTCCCTAGGCCAGACAGATGGGTTCTTTGGAGACGTCCCTGCTGGACCCTCTCCCCGCAGCCTCCTCAGCCCAGGCGATGCACTCTCATCTGGGTGCTCCCCTGTGATCTTTTCCTTTGCCCATGGGCATCGATGGGTCTATCCCTTCCTACCAAGATCCCTCCATCCTCTTGGTGGCCAAGTCATGGTGGTGCATACTGGCTCTTTCTCTCCTCCTGCCCACCTCCGGCCCTCAGGAAACAGAACACTTTCCCTGCCCACTCCGAGGCAAGGTCACACGCTGATAGCAGCATACTCTGTAGTCACTCCCAGAGCAGTTGGTCCATGATCCTCCCGCTAGGTTCCCAGGGCTGGAGTCAGACCTCACTCAGCCATCCACTTGAGCTTTCCTCCATGCCTCTGACATTGCAAAGCTCTCCAGAAAGCCCCGAGAAATCCCTTGAAGTTCCCTCAGCAGGCCTGGGTTTAGAAGGTGGCACACACCCGCCGCAGGCCCTTACTCAAGGGAAGGCCACAGGGACCAGGAAACAACACAGCCACAGCTCTCTGTAAAGAAACTGGCTCAGGGGTTCCCTCAGTCCTCCACCCTCAGACCCTTTCTATATCCTTGTTAAGACTGAGGGGTCCAAGGGTCTTTCCCCAAACAGATGAGAGATTTTCGAAGCCAGGACATGCCCCAGTGTACCAGGCCTATGATCAGCTTTTTAAAAAAGAATATCAGAATTTAGAATAGCAGTGTATCCAGTGTGGTAAGGGTGAGTGTTGTTTTGTGAAACTGTTGCTTCAGATATATATAAAACTTGGGTGAGTGCCTGTGTACGTACCCTGGTGAGTGATGGAAAATAAATCTCTTACTAGGAATCCCAGTGAAAAGAATTTAAAAGCAACACAAGGCCAGATGGCATGTCTATCTTACTTGCCATTGCTTCCCGGGACCCAACTCAGTGGCTGCCCTGTGGCATGTTGGAGAGAGGAGAGAGGTCCAAGGCTGCTACCCTCACCATGAGGTCGTGTAGGGGGTCAGGTATCCTCTCTCACAGGCTCCAGGGAACACTAACTATGGCATCAGTATGGGCCAGCAAGGCGACTTCTCCCATTGTTTGTTTGTTTGTTTTTTTGAGTTGGAGTTTCACTCTTGACACCCAGCTGGCACACTCACAGCCACCACAGGCTTGACCTGCTGGGTTTAGGCAATCCTTCTGCCTCAGCCTTCCAAGTAACTAGAACTATAGACG